GCAAAAAGGACGCAGAAGATGGTCAACAGTCTTTTGTCGACAAATGCCCAGTCCATATGGAAGAGTAATTGATAAGGCCTTCAACCTTGGGAACTTCGACACCCTACTGTCAATTTGGAGCGAAATATGGGTAGGGACTAGGGGATTCCTGACAGTGAGTGATATCTGTTTGGTGATTTAGAATCACTTACGAATAGGCGCTGGAACTCAACTCCACTCCTAAAAAATACATTGGCATACAACCCATTTAATCCACTCAATGAATAGTGATTGACTGTAGGCCGTGATGTTTGTATGATCAAAACACAGTATACATAAATATATATATATATATAACTCATATGAAACTCTTACTTGTTGAAGGTGCAGTAGCCATGCAAAGAATGTGTGATCAAGAGAACACCACTATCGGCACGTTTGTCATGATCGAGAGAGAGAAAAAAACACCAACTCTTCTGTAAACTCCTAGCTTTATGACAATGCTCTATGGGAAGCCTTAGTTGCCGTGATCTAGGGTTAGCAGTGACCGGTGTTTATATACTAGCCAAAAAGTCTTAGATTCCATCCATAAAGGAAAGCTAAAACTCTCATTTCTTGGCTCTCAAGTAAAATATCATAATCATATATTATTAAGGATTCAATCAAAAACCTACCTATAATGTAAGACATTCAATGTAGGATTGATATAAGGATATCAAATCGCAACTTAACTGATCTCCAACCTATACATTCCTATTACATATAGTAGACCATTTATGGTTGATTTATATTGAGTAAATCCAACATTCTCCCACTTGATCTACTTAATTGTAATGATCATGCTTCAAACATATGTCGGAGATCATTGTTTCTTTAATGGCCATATTATTGCGACCCAATCCCATCCTTAATTCAAATTTCTGTCAAATGGACTTCTCAATGTAGGACTAACAAGGTTGTAAAGATAATTTATCTCAGATCACACACATTGAGTCAACCATTCACATGAAAACCATTAGATTATGATCTAGAGATGCACTTTAACTCAAGAATTGTCTTATTTTGTATCATCTCTAGTCCACTATTATCGTAACTTTCATAAGTCAGACCTTATGCTTTTAAATGGTCTATATGTTTACCAATGTAAACTTTTTACCATTCCAAAGCCACCTTATGCTTTTTGCTTTTAAGCAGTTCATATGTTTGCCAACGCAAACCCTTTTGTCATTTCAAAATGACACATTATGCTATTCATGCATTCTGCATGTTTGCCAAACTTTCATTATTCCAAAACAGACTTATGCCTAAAAGGAATTAAATATGCATGCATCATGTGAACACAAATAATTAAAACAATCTTTATTCAAACCCAACCTCGGAAACAAACCACACCTCAAACCTCAAAAACTCAGTGAGTTTAGCTCACTTATTTACTGCAGCTAAAACCAGTTTTCTACTCCCACTAACTCAGCATATCTAAGTTCGAGATCAATCCCATGTTTTTTACATGCTTCTTGAAAGACATGATTGGAAGTGGCTTGTTCAAGGGATCTGCAAGCATTGATTCAGTATCTATATAGCTAATCTTTATGAACCCTTGCTTAACCTTTTCCCTAACCAACTTATACTTGATATGCATGTGCTTAGTCCCAGAAGATCTCTTGTTGTTCTTGGAGTAGAAAATTGCAGCAGTATTGTCACAAAATATCTTCAATGGATTTGTGACAATATGGGAGACCCTCATACCCTCTATAAACTTTCCAATCCAAACCGCTTGAGAAGTTGCTTTGTAACAAGCCATATATTCAGCCATCATAGTAGAGGTAGCTACATTTTTCTATTTCATACTTTCCACGAGATTGCTCATCCTGCCATCATAAAAATGTAGCTAAAGGTAGATTTTAGTGAGTCTTGACATCCCGTAAAATCTGAATCACAGTAGCCAACCAACTCGAGCTTATCACTTCTCCTGTATACCAGCTTATAGTCTTTGGTTTTCTGCAAATACCTAAGCACCTTCTTTGTTGCAATCCAATGGGCATGTCCAGGGTTCGATTGATATCTCCCCAACAGGCTTAATGCAAAAGCAATGTCAGGTCTTGTGCATACTTGTGCATACATTAAGCTCCCTGCAACTGAAGCATACGGCTTGTCATTCATCTCAAGTTTTTCAACTTCAGTTCGAGAGCTTTGCAGCTTGCTCAATTTATCTCCTTTAGTCACTGGCACATCACAACCACTGCAAGTTGACATATTGAACCTCTTGAGTATCTTGTCAATATATCCCTTTTGTGATATTCCAAGCAAACCTCTCTCTTTGTCACGAGTTATTTCTATCCCCAAGACATAGGTTGCTTCGCTGATATCATTCATCTCAAAATTGTCACTGATTATTAATTTGGTCTCATGCAGTAAGGTTAAATCAGTGCTAGCTATGAGGATATCATCCACATATAGCACCAATATGGTGAAGTGTCTCCCACATGATTTAAAATATATACATTCATCTTCCGAATTCTCAGTGAAACCATGTGATTGCATTACTTCATCAAACCTCAAGTACCATTGTCTTGAAGCCTGTTTGAGGCCATAAATCGATTTCCTGAGTTTGCATACTAATTCTTTACCATCTACATCAATGAATCCCTCAGGTTGTCGCATATAAATTTCTTCTTCCAAAATACCATTTAGGAATGCAGTTTTTACATCCATTTGATGTAAATGAAGATCATAGTGAGCCACCAAAGCCATTACAAACCTGAATGAATCTTTTGTTGGGACTGGTGAGAATGTTTCAGTGTAATCAATTCCCTTTTGTTGAGTGTATCCCTTGGCTACAAGTCTAGCCTTGAATCTTTCAATTTCTCCCTTGGAGTCCTTCTTAGTCTTATACACCCACTTACATCCGATTGGCTTTGCTCTCTTTGGTAACACTGTAAGTTCCCACACTTTATTCTTTTTCATGGATTCAAGTTCACTCTCCATGGATTCACTCACTCTTCTTGCTGCAATCCACTTACAGCCTCCTTATATGTTGCAGGTTCACCAATGTTGATATCTGCTTCACTCAAATACAACATAAAATCATCTGAGATGGCTGATTTCCTCAGTCTTGTAGATTTTTGAATCATAGGTGCAAGGACTTCAGGAATTGGTTCTGTAACTTGTACCGGTTCATGTGGAGCATCATTAGTGACATTCGGTTTTTCCATATTGTCTATAGTAACATTAGTGGCATCATTTTGCACAACATTCTCAGTATTCTCAGTAACTGGTGGCAAGAGAAGACTGTGGCTTGTGTTTGGAGTCTGCACCCCAGTGTCTTCTACATTTTCTTGTAAATTAGATTCATCTTCTTCAAAAACCAAGCTGTGATTTAAGACTCCCTCTATCATCTCTTCTATGAACTTCACATTATTTGTCTCAATGAAACGCATAGAATTTCCAAGACAAAAAAATCCCTTGGTTCTAGGTGAATAACCAATGAAATAGCAACTTATAGTTTTGGGATCTAACTTCTTTTCCTGAGGATTATATGCTCTTGCTTCTGCTTTACATCCCCATATTCTCAAATGTAACAAGCTAGGCTTTTTGTTGTTCCAAATTTCGAAAAGTGTTGAAGTGACAGACTTGCTTGGTGCCCTATTGCAGATATAGTTTGCAGTTTTAATTGCATCACCCCATAGAAACATTGGCAAGTTGGTAATGCTCATCATACTTCTTACCATATCCTTCAAGGTACGATTCTTTCTCTCAGAGACACCATTTTGTTGTGGTGTTCCAGGATTTGTCTATTGAGCTACAATTCATTCACTTTGCAGATAAAGTGCAAAGGGTCCTGGATTTCTTCCATGTTTAGTGTATCTTTTGTAGTATTCACCACATCTGTCAGACTTTACAGTTTTGATTTTCTTATCCAATTGTTTTTCAACTTCAGCCTTGTAAATTTGAAAAGCATTCAAAGCACTGGATTTCTCAGTAAGCAAATATAAGTAACAATATCTCAAATGGTCATCTATGAATGTTATGAAGTACCTATAGCCATCATAAGTAGGTGTGGGGAAAGGCCCACATATGTCAGTGTGTATGAGCTCTAGTAATCCATTACTTCTTATTGCATCTTTCTTGTGTGAACTCACCATTTTTCCTTTAATGCATTCAATACATGTAACCGGATTGTCAAACTCAAGTGGTGGAAGTATGCCACTTTTACTTAGGTTCTTTATTCTCTCAATTGAAATATGCCCTAATCTTTTGTGCCAAATAGTGGATGAAGTCTCATCTTGATTCAATCTCTTCTGTCCAATTAAATGTGCTACTCGACATGATTCCTTGCAATTCAGTCGAAACATCCCACCAATATGCAAACCATTCCCAATAATCTGAGAGTTTTTGTGAATTGAAAAGCCACTGTTATTTATTGAAAATATAAAATCTTTCATAACTAGCTGACTAACTGATACTAAATTCCTTCGAATTGAAGGTACATAGCACACATTCTCAAGGTCTAATGTAAAACCAAACTCTAATTTTGTTCTAACTGTTCCAATAAACTCAACAGCAGCTCTTCCTCTATTCCCAACGATCACTGAGACTTCATCCTTTCTTGGCACTCTCTTGCTTGTGTAGCCATGTAAAGAGTTTGTCACATGTATTGAAGCACCACTGTCAAGCCACCAAGAATCTCTAGCATATTCAACATTATTTGTTTCAAAACAAACTAAAACTTCACCTTTAAAAATCATAACATTACCTTTTCCCTTACCACTGTCAAGCCATTTTTTGTATTTCTGGCAATGTCTCTTCATATGTCCAGGTTTCTTGCAGAAGAAACATTTTCCCTTAACAGCTTTGGACCCTTTGTTTGCACCAATTTTGGAATGATGCGATGCTACTTTGTTGTGCTCCTGTTTTGCAGTGTTGTTATGGTGATCAGTTACCATGTTCACCTTTTTCTAAAAAAATTCCTGCCTTATGTGTTGCTCCTCATGCACGCAAATTGCAATCAGTTCATTGAGGCTTCACTTCTCCTTTTGTTCATTGTATGTGCTCTTTAATTGTGAGTACTCATTCGGTAGTGATTTAAGTGCCACATGAACTAAGAAATGATCACTCATAGGAACTTTGAGGGCATTCAATTTAGCTCCAATATCTAGCAGTTCTAATATATGTTCCCTCACACATCCCATACCATTATATCTTTTGGTCATAAGTTCATTCATGAGATTACCAGTTTCTGCCTTATCTGATTCTTTGAACTTCGAGTCAATAGATGCCAAGAACTCCTTGGCATTCTCGGATTCAGGAATGCCACCTCTCACTGTGTCAAACATAGATCTTTTAATCACCAAGAGAGTAATTCGATTAGCCTTCTGCCATCTTTCATATTTTGCTTTGACATCAACTGCAGCATCAGAAGCAAGTTCTGGAGGACAATTCTCTGTTGTTGCTATGTCTAAATCCATTAGCCCTAGACAGATCTCAAGGTCTTGTTTCCACTTTTTGTAGTTTGTTCCACTTAGGGTTTAAACAGTGTTCATAGCATTCATCACTGAATATACATACAACATGCATGCATTGATTAAAACAATCCCAAAACTTTATAAAAACAAAATTGATTCAACACTTGTGAGCAAAATGAATCAATATGTCTTTTGACACTGACTTAGGCGATACACCAGTTTCCTTCATGTCGATTCCCAACACTTGTGAGCAAGATGAGAACCCCACAACCGATATGTCACATAAATCATGCCATACCATTCACATATGATCCAGAAAACAACGATCAACATTTGTGAGCAAGATGAACAATCTCTATATCATATATTGAATGCAATTTTATGAACAACTACCTTAAATACATGATTCAATCTTTCATGATAAACAGTTGTAGCTTGAATATATGATTAATTGAATTATGTAGACGCTGATCATCTTTAACTTTATAAGCACCAAAGTACTAACAATCAAGTAGAACAGTTTAAATTTGACATGAACTATGCAAGATCTCATTTGCGAATTAGGTATATCTTTTCTGCATGTTAAGAATTTTATGCTGCATGCTTTTCATTCGAAAATCACATATGAGATCAATCTTAATGATTTTAACCATCCAAACAATGGCTCTGATACCAATTGTAGGCCGTGATGTTTGTATGATCAAAACACAGTATACATATATATATATATAACTCATATGAAACTCTTACTTGTTGAAGGTGCAGTAGCCATGCAAAGAATGCATGATCAAGAGAACACCATTATCGGCACGTTTGCCGTGGTCAAGAGAGAGAAAAAAACACCAACTCTTCTGTAAACTCCTAGCTTTATGACAATGCTCTATGGGAAGCCTTAGTTGCCGTGATCTAGGGTTAGCAGGGACCGGTGTTTATATACTAGCCAAAAAGTCTTAGATTCCATCCATAAAGGAAAGCAAAAACTCTCCTTTCTTGGCTCTCAAGTAAAATATCATAATCATATATTATTAAGGATTCAATCAAAAACCTACTATAATGTAAGACACTCAATGTAGGATTGATATAAGGATATCAAATCGCAACTTAACTGATCTCCAACCTATACATTCCTATTACATATAGTAGATCATTTATGGTTGATTTATATTGAGTAAATCCAACATTGACCTCATGAACAATTTAATTGGCCAAATGCATCTTCACCCTTAAAAAATATGCTGGCACAAAGTCTAAAAAATGTGCTGGCACAAACGATCTCCACCACTACAAAATGCCCTGGCACCCAGCCCATTTAAAATATTATTATTTTTTTTTTATAAAATACACAAAAATAGTTTTAATTTCATATATGATTTTTAACCAATCTTGTCACGCCACATGTCATTATCCAAAGTAATTTTGTGGATAGATTTCCGATTAGATTTTTATCCAATCCCGATGTGCCACGTGTCACTATCTATTTATAATAATTTAGCCAAGATTTCGATTAGATTTTCAATCAATCTTGTCACACCACGTGTTATTATCTGAACGTACTATTTTTGAATGATTTCCGATTAGATTTGGCCAAGATTTCGATAAGATTTTCAACGAATCACGTAGTGACACGTGGTATTGTCTAGAACATCATCCTTTCTTTTTTTGTCCATATAAACCTTACATTCATCCTCATTCACACACCAAACTCAATCCTTATTTTTAGCTCAAAATCCTTCTTCATCGTTTATAAATCTTGAGTTCTTACAATGTCTTCTTCAAGGAGATTGTATGAAATCGATGAGCAGCAGAAAAGATTGTTGGCACAATAGGAAGAATTGTTTAATCTCGAGGAAGGTGAAGATGAGGCTTTCACAATTGAAGAGGATAAGGAAGATGAACATAGAAGGCAGAGGGCTTTACATTCCCATCATGTCATGGAAGTTGTGGGTCAAATATCTAAACCCAGACGTGCTGATAAAAAGAGGGAAATACGAGGTAAAGATCTCTTGGAAGATTATTTTATCCCCAACAGTTTATTCCCTTATCATATTTTTAGACGTCGTTTTAGAATGCAACGAAGTTTGTTCAATAAAATCATGAGTGCTATGTGCAACCATGATCCATACTTTGTGAAAAAAAGAGAGGATGTTTTTCATGTTCTAGGTCTTCTTCATGAGCAAAAATTATTGCTGCCTTGTGGATGCTTGCATATGGAGCATCTGCAGATCAAATGGATGAGATAACGAGGATGAAAAAAAACAACTGTTATGGAGTCCCTGATGTAGTTTTGCTCCGTAAATTAAATAAAAATATTGATGCGGGTGGAATACATATAAATAAATAAAAGTATTGTCACATGATATGCTAAACTTCTCCCACTACTCATATTAGTGGAAGCATGAGAGAGAAAGCGTTTTTCCAGCAAGTAAAGGATATGTTAAGTTTTTTCCAACGACCTTAAAGACCTTGACTACTTCTTGTGCGATCTCCAAGCCTATCGCAAAACGCTTCCGTAATTGTACTCCACATTTCTTGCAACTCCATCTCATTACCCGTAAGCGGGTCATGAGTAATTTGAACCCAGCATTGACACAACGTAACATTTTCGATGAGCTTCCACGTAGCCATTTTTTCCACACAAAAAAAGTATATGAAAGCTTTGGTTGAAAGTGTTGAAAATATTGAAACGTGGTGTAAGGTGGAAGACGATGGTTAGATATTTATAGAAAAAAAATATTTAATTTAATTTTTTTCTATATTTTTAAACAATTTTTTATTAATTTTTATTAAGTTAATTAATCTAGATCGTTGGATTTGAAAAAAATTCAAATCCAACAGCCTAGATGTTGACACATGGTCAACGATCATAATTCTGACCGTTGTGCATTTTATTTTATTTTTTCATTTTTGGACAAAAATTGTGGACCGTTGATCTCGAGATCGGACGGTCCAAAACGCGCCACGTCATTGGCCGTTGGATTTGATTTTCAAATTTTGTTGATCATTGGAAATCCAATGGCCTAGACTGAGCCACGTGGCATCCCGTCAGTCCCTCTGTTGCGCTTGCACATGCGAGCCCGCCCTTTTTTTCTTGTTAGGGACGCGCGGCCACTCGCGCGTGTTTCCCACGCGCCTGGCGTAAAAAAATCAAATTGGCATGTGATGTCATGCTAACGCCAACGTGACATCACATAGGCCGGGCCTTGGTTCATCACATTTTGGGCCGCCCTAGAAGACGGCTTGGGCTAGGTGCTAACCTATTAAGCTGGGTTGCAGGAGTTTTAGGGGGTGCCAGCCTGTTTTTTGTGATTTGAGCCGACCTACCCCTTAGGGATGGAGTTGCTCAAGCTCTGGCAATCGTATTGAGGACATTGAGCCCACCCATTGTGAAAGTAACAACACACGCACAAACTCCTCGTGACCGTCCGTAGCCGTTAGTGACGTTCTTGGCTTTGAGTTCGTTGTAGCAACCGATGTTGGTGAGCCCGAGCTCGGCGATAAGGTGGTCGAGGAGGTTCAAATTAAAGTCACTGGGGACAGTGAACACATCGGTGACACCGATTTGGACGAGTCGACTGGCGATGTGGTGACCCAAAGTGGCGTTAAAAGAGTTGATGATGGTGGAAGGACTCAGCAGCGTAGTTCTTGTCCCTTTCCTAGTAATCGTATAGAGAGAAACACCTGGCGGGTCTTCTCCCCATGGCAGTGGCTGTAGGTTCTCCAAAAAGAGGAGGATTTCTCTCCTCTCCTAATCTCTATTTCCTTCCCTTCCCTCCCCTCCTACTTAAATGGTTACGATGAAGTTACGTTAATTTTATTTTATTTTTTTATAGAAACAATAAGACAAAAAGCAAAATGTGAGATGAGGAAAGGAAAGGAGATGAGAATAGGAAAGGAGAAAATCCTACTCCCTCCAAAAACCCTCGACTTCTTTGGATGTGAAGGATGGAATAAAAGGATTCGGGGTTTGCCCTTGGGTTTGCTTCCTTTATTGAATAAACAAACGAGATTAGAGATTATATTAGGGAGTTGAAGGGGTTCAAATCAGGCCGTAGCACAAAAGTACCATTCATCTCTACCACTTGCCCTGGTTTGCTTCCTTGGATTGGATGAAATTAATCAATGGTGCCGCCATGGTCTTTGTAGAAACCATATATTCCATTAATTCTAATCAAGGGATTACAACCTATTTATACATGAAGTGTATGATTGCTAACCTAGTGGTTACAAAATAACGGGAATACAATTATAGCCTAATAACATCTAATAACAACATAATGACTTATAACAACATAACGGCTAATAACATCTAATAACAACATAACGGCCAATGACATCTAATAACAACATAACGGCAAAACAATGATGTGTTGGCATTCATTGGCTCTAAAACCTTCCTTAACTATGGTAACTGCCTAACACTCCCCCGCAAACTTGACTCCAAATAGGTGACAAGTTTGAAAATAAGACGTGCAAACTGTTCAACTGGTAATCCTTTGGTGAAGATGTCGGCAAGCTAAAATGTAGAAGGAATAAACTAAACTTTGTGGCTACCAAAAGCAACCCGTTCACGAACAAAGTGAAAATCAATCCCAATGTGTTTTGTGCGATCATGAAACACGAGATTACCACCTAAATATGTGGTACACAAGTTGTCGCAGTTAAGTAAGACTAGACAAGTAAGCAGACAATGAAGTTCAGTTAAAAGATCTTGAATCCATACAGTGTCAATACAAGCGTAGGCCAAGGCTCTATATTCAATTTTTGCTCTGGAACGGGAAACTATTGGCCGTTTCTTGGCACTCCATGAAATGAGGTTGGGTCCCAAAAATATACAGTAGCCGGATGTGGACCTTCGTGTATCAGGACAATCCTGCCCAATCGGCATGAGAATAAGCAATTAAGAAGGAACAATCTTGAGACCTACAAATAGGAAGACCAAACCCAAGAGAGCCTTTCAGGTAACATAATATTCGTTTAACAGATTCAAAGGTAACATAGAGTTG